GCCCATCCGACCTACGAAAAATGCCCATCCGACCTACGAAAAATGCCCATCCGGCCTACGAAAAATGCCCATCCGACCTACAAAAAGTGCCCATGCACTGACCTTGCAATTGAGTGGCCGTCCGACAGTTACAATTAATTATTTCTACCCTACTGCGCATAGGCATGACAAAAGCTGCTGAATAGGTCAGATGTTGCAGTAGGTCGGATGGGCAGTATAGCGGATGGGCAATAGGACGGATGGGCAGTAGAGCGGATCAACATTACCCTTCTGGACTCCCCCCTCCTGAAACAACTAAAAAAAACTATGCTTTTGAGAGGTTTCCTAAAAAGAAAGATTGTAGCTAAACTGTGAATTGAATAAAATCTCTGATGACTTGAACAAAAATCATAATGTCATAATATTTTGCGCAATCCATTCTTATCCCTGTTGGCCCTTTGCGTACTGTTTAAATGCGTATAACTCCCTGTTCCTGTAGTTTTGCGTAGAGGGCCCGTGCAGACTACAGACTACAGAGGGCCCCGATCAGCTGTAGTGTACTCTGAAGAGAAACTGTATCACTTATAGCTTAGTAAAAATTTGTCCGCTGTTCTTGACGTCTCCGTGATGAAGCCTTGTAAAATGAATCGATCAGCTGTAAATAAACATAGAAAACTCAGCTGACAGTGACAATATAATCAGGATCTACAAAATAGAAAAAATATCAACTTTAAATTGGAAAATCGTGCAAGAATACATTCATATTCTTCATTTGAAGATGAAGCAATTTTTTTATCTAGAGATGCAGTTTTTATTAATTGTTTAAAACACGCATACCAAGTTCTCAATTGGATAATGTTAGATTAAGATATATCTAATATATCTAATTCGTCCCATGAGTCCCAACTTTCCCTTATAGTGTGGATTTTATAGAAAGTATTTATAAAAATGGAAAAAGGAGTGGAGAATGTATTCTGAGAATGTATTTACATAGTTTTACTTTATTAGCGCAGGCGCTACAGCATTTTTAGTGTGAGGAGGGGCATAACAAGTATATTAAGAATTTTGTGCTAAGCTCGCCGTAAATCGCTCGTCAAGGGGAGATCTAATAACGCCCTCTCAGCATCTATAGATATTAAGTTGTAATCTCTGTTTGTATGTCCGATCACAGCTCATGAACCCCTGGACCGATTTGCCTCATATTTTGACTGGGGAACTTAGCTTGGTTTTGAGAGTCTAAGTTAATTTGAGTAACTATGAGTAATCTGCAGATAAGATTTATATATAGCTACTAATAATGAATATTCCAAGAATACCAAGGTTTGCTTTAGAACTGCGCGTAAAATGGTGTAAAATGGTTAAATCTAGATTTATCTAGATAATTGAAGTAATAGTCAATAACATACGCACTCGCAGTCCAATGTGATAGATTTCTAGTTCACTTAATAATTAATGTACCGGGTGGCAACGCGACGGCCACCAAGCTAGTCCTTTGATAGAGGGGGGGGGGGGGCTAGGTCAATATGTAAGAATCGTATTTTTTAATTTGAAAATAACTTTTGTATTTAATCACTCCAACAGGCTTAATTGAAATGTCAACAGGATTTTCTTTTCAGTGTTGTGAACTTGAAATAGTGACAAAGCATTAACAGTGATTTATAGTGTTCCTATAGCTTGATAACCCAGCTTTGCATGAACACTAAGCATTCACAGTAAAAGTCAGCCCACTTAAAACTTTTAAACCAAGCTAAGACTATTTTCTAGCTTCTAACGAATTCCCAAATCTAAATTTGAGGCAAATCGATCAATGGGTTCCTAAGTCATGATCGGACAAACGGATAACAGACCAACAAACAGAGATTACTGCTTTATGTATAAGATATGAGATGTAATTGTTATTAAGAATCAATATAAATGCAGCTTATCTTTTTTTCCCTAATAATATAGGAAAAATTAGTCCTCAATAATATTCATATTCCATGTTATTGTTGTTTACAATTTGACCTAAAATTGTCAGAGTTAGTTTTAAAGTTTTATCTTAAAGTATTTAGGAGGGGAATTTAGAAATTTAATAAAACTCAATAAAATGCGCAGGGAATTGACACTTTGAGTTATACTGACACACTTCACAGAGCACAGACAAAATAAGATTCTTGGGGAGTTCAAAATTTTCGGCCTGTATTTCTAAAAACATAAAGATATGAAAATTATTAAGTTATTTTTCAGTTTGCTCATTGTAAATTGAAAATACAAAAATTTCACGTCTAAAAATCTATTATTAGAATATAGAAGGTAAATAAAACTCGATAAATTTTAAGATTGCCAATACATAAATCAATGATCCTCTATGACCTCAATATATATGTATCTTCATATCTACATATTCGAAAAAATTTTACTATTTTACTTATATATTATTATTTTTTTAACAGTTAATTTGTTTATATTTATTTATCGTAAAGAGCTTCATTTATTGTTCGATTTAAATTTGTTTAAGGCTTTAGCAAGTTTTAAATGTGATGGTAAGCTTAATTTCTCAAATAAAATACCTTTATTTAATACCGGTAGCTAATACAAATTATAGGATTTGTAGATAGTTTTCTCAAAACCTAGGTTTTTGGACTCTATTCATTAGCTTTTCTTTCACTATGCCAAATATTAACCCTGAGAGAAAAAATTAACCAAAAACGATCGTTTTAAATCAATCGTTTTCTGGTTAATTTTTCCCTTTCATTTTATTTCCATAGTTTTAAATTTTTTTTTACAGAATATAGTTTTAAATGTTGAAACCTTTTACAAGTTCACACAAATAGATTCTAGTACAATGAGGCAACGTAGAATTCGTACACTTTCAGAACAGCTGTATTCTGACGTCACAAGTGTCAACTTAGTTTTTGTGCCCGACAAAATTATTAATACTAGTGATAATTTTAGAATAAAGTGCAATTTTATGTGTTCTTTATTTTCTAATTTTACACTTTTTTATTTCATCTTGGAAAACATGTCAACTAATGTGTAAAAAAAAATTTTTTCCTTGTTGTATTTGACACTTGTGACGTTTTGTATAATTGGTTCATTTCTCTGTTGCCACCAATTGTACTTGATAATCTATTTGAGTTGACAGTATTTGTGTGGCACCTTTTAAAGTCTAAAGAACCGTAAAATTCGAGAAAATCGATATATCGATATATTTTATCATATATGTGAAGGTTTTCCTTAACTCTCGTCCTTCATGAATAACATCAATACCTTTTGATGCACTTTTTGTTCGATAATTTTACCACTTTATTCCATTAATTATATTCATAAAAGTTATTTTTGATGAATATTGATTCGGGAAAAAGACCGTTTTTTATATTTGCATAATTGTTGAATAAGACGAAATATTTCAGATAAATCTTTTTTTCGATTTCAATTGGAGTCTAATCTTTTATTGTCTATTGTTATTTTCTAAAATCTTTAGGACCAAGAAAAGATGACCTAGAAAATAGCATTTTGTGTTTTTAAATGAAAATTATGGCGCCATTAGAGCTCAAGGTCACAGAGGAAAAATGTTTTGGTACCGATTTGTGTTGTGTAAGGAGTATGATGTAAAATGTGTAATGTGCACTGTGCACTGTGTATAAATGTAAATACAGCTGTGTGTAGGTTTTCTGCCCATAAAATCCGCAAATGGATAAAAACCGGTTTTATTTAATTTAATGTAATTTGAGGTATTCTAGGCTCTAGCAAAAATGCAATTCCGACTCGATACAACTTACACAGGAACTTTTAACATAAAAGGAAGGAAGATCAGGGATTTGATTTTAATTTTTACTTTTGCATTTGTAAACATCTTTTTTAAGGTGGTAATGTAAATAAGTTAGACATTTTCATTGCTTAGGATCTGGATCCGTTGGATCCTCAACATTTTGTCTTCCTGGATAGTATGTAATATGCGGATCCAAGGGGCAAAATACCAACCAAAACATGCTAAAATTTACTTTTTGCTCTTAAAACATAACATAAATTTTATCTGCAACTAAGGAGCGGTTATTAAAACTTCATAATCTCTGAATGGTTTATGAATTTCAGCGAAAAAAAAAGAAGAAAAAAGTTGAACATTTTTTTCTGTTTAAAATATATGTAAATCTTGGCCTGGAATCTGGATCCGGATCCGGTTTTCATCCAAACTAAAACAGTTTTTAATTCATAATTACATGTATCCCAACTTCAAGTTTTAGTGAACATATTTATTTTGGCAAATGTTCTCTTGCTGGGATGAATCTGAATCTGAAGCCTGAAACTTCTTGATGTTTCTGTTCGATGTATCCCATACTGCTCAACAATCTTCTTTTCCTCCTCTGTATCTCAAGTTTTTGAATCAAATGTGTTTATATCTATATATAGATAACTCGACTAAACTGTCCGTGATATTTTAAAATGTCCAATGTATTAGCTGAATCCGATATTTTGTACTCAAATCGAGTCATGATTTAGGGATGAAATCATGAAACCCAAACTTACTAATGTAATTTTTTAAATTTATTTGTCACGTCTCTCGAATCTCTCTTCGGAAAAAAACATAATTACACACATATATATTCTGACGTTCTCTTTAACACATATAAATAAAATTTATAAAACCTTTCAAAGCTCTCACCCTGTTATACATTCTTGCATTTGTGAAAATTATTGAATCCTATTGAATCCTTTTACGGTTTCGCTTACTACAAAGTTGATGTATACTTTCATTAGAATAAGATATTCATATAAAAATTCAGCTTTTTAAAATTAGATGTCGAGTTGATTTAATCAGCATAAATTTGTTTGGATTATATTTTTTTTTCACCCAACTAAACTTCAGTTGGAAAACCTCGACTTATTTTACTAAACATGCTCCTGAGCATTTCAACTACGCCAGTGTCTAAAGCAATCCTTAACGTCCATCCTCCACTCTAAATCGTATTTTTTTTGGAGGCTCAAATTTAACTATTATACAATTGCGTAAGAATGAAATGAAGCTATATAGATACAAATGTTTATTTTCAGATAACACAACAAATACAAGTGAAAGATGCCAAAATGTTGAGGAGAAAATGGAAAAGAAATAAGAAGAAAAAGAATCGTTTTGTGGTGAAAATTTGAGGTCTTTTTAACGAAAAAGCTGAGGTAAGTAAGATCAGGCCAATTGGCATTCAATATAATCTAACGGAAATATAAAAGTAGTTTTATGTAAGTTATTAATTTAAGAGCACTGTAAACGATTCACAATAGTACCATTAAATTCTTAATCTTGGAAGGACTGCATATCGTTTTTTATTGCTGGAATATTACAAATTTTTTTCATTTATTTTTAAATCTTTAACCCATTATCTATTCTTAAAGTAAAACTGTAAAAGAACAAAAATTTGCTAGAAGATTGTAAAAATAATATATAAAATCTCAAGATAATTCCACCAAGTTGGCTTCTATGAAAAACAGACCAAAAATATTGTTTCCCGCTGTAATTTCCTTTTTTAATTTAATTCAATTCAAAAGATTTTTTTTTATTTAAATTAAGACAACGTTTTTTTAATGCTAAAACTCATTTAAATGACGAGAACACCGAACAATAAACAGAAATAAAGCTGATACACGTCGCTCTTTATTGAATTAAAATGATTGAATTAAAAGATTTAGCTTAGTCCCCCCTGGGCCCCCTGACAGTATGTTAAAAGTTTATACCAGCAAGAACTGCAGAGTGTGGATGTGTGAATAAACAGAGATCGGAAGCCGGAAAGTTTTGTATCCGTTTTTAACTTAGCACAATTTTTTTAAAAAAAAAGGATTTAATTTACATATTTTTACACTTCTTTGAATGTGAAATACTCGTTTCTCATCAATCAAAGGTCAAAAAGGTTCAACAATTAAAATTGAAACTTCAAACAGCACTGAATAAATTAAAAGGTCTAGTCATTTCCTAGATTTCAATTCCTATTAAATCAAACATGCTCGGTATGGATATCAGGGTAAGCTCAGCACTAACTCTATTAAAAGTTTCGACCCCTGAACTTCAAATACAGAAATTTTCCCTTAATGCCTACAATATGTATTTAATATTGAATTTATATTTATATTTGAATTCTAGAAATTCACGAAAGTTTGCACCTCTAGCATTTTACCATTTAACATTTTATTAAATTCAATGTTTTTGTAAATATTTTTTAAGTTGGATCACTAAAACCGTTTATATTTCACAAAAGAAAATTAAACCTAATCGAGTCAGCTGTTTTGTGAAAGAACTAAAAAATTAGACTTCTGAGAGTTGAAATTCAGAGCAAAATAATAAAGACGTTTTCTGCCCTTTTTCAAAAATTAAAAAAAGTTTCTTTTTACCATAATATTAATTAATTAATCCATATTTGTATGGTTAACATGTTTGATTCTTGAAATATTGTAGCAGGAAAATGATGTTTTGATCTTTCCTGCGACTGTAAATAGCATTTTGTTTGTCATTATTTTTACCCTTCGTTCGCACTCAACCCCATTTTGCCTCCCCCCCCACCTTTTACTGATGTTTAACGGGTTTTCTTGTTTATGTTTGGTTTCTATATTTAACCCAAGCCACGCGGAGAAATCCGTTATCCCCGAACCCGGGAGCTGGTGAGCTGGCCGGCCAGCTCACGGGGCGTGGGGTAGAATGCGAACTAAGGGTGGAGCGAAATAGAGGGAAAAAAGGCAGTTGATCGTCAGCTCCCTTAAACTGAGGTTCCCTTGAAGAATTCCCCTATTTGATGAAACTGATTTTATTCATAATATTTAGTTTGTATAAGTATCGTTCGATTTAAAGTTTGTATTTTTGTAACTTTTGTATATAAATATATTGTAAGAAAAACCGACTCGTTGAATATTTGAGAAACTCAGTGCATTGCTTTATTGATTTTTATTCATATACAATAATATTACAATTATTGTAAAATATAGTTTAAATATAAATATCCCGAGGGGATATTGTCAGAATTGCATCTTTAAACTGCATTGAACAATACAACCTCGGAATTGCACTCGAAGTACTTTAAGTTTAAAAGTCAATTAACAGTATAATGTAGTTTTTACGATATTTGGCTAATTTAGATCCGTTTCTTTGCAGTGTTTAGTCAACAACATAAGAAATAATAAGAAAACAAAACAATCGATTTAATAAAAAATACTTTTAGATCTTACAAGTTCCAATCTTCGCCCCCCCCCCCCCACCTCCTCCCCTTCTTTACTTCATTATATCTTTATATCCCGGAATCTCTATTTTCAATATTTATTAACCCTGAATGGAATATATTTATCGATATTATTTGACACTGTTCCTACACGAACTAAGTAATGTATTATTGGACATTGGATCCAGTATTAATATATAATCGATGTTAAATTACATACATTTATAGCAAAACAATGATTCGTATTAAAAACACATGTTTATAAAATAATAAAAATAATTAGTAGGTTTTAAATGCTTATGTCGTTTAGTTATAATTATGACTCAAAACGTTTTAAGAATAATTTGTGTGAACATATTGAACTATTAGGAAACGATTTTGATGTCAAGTGGCGATAAAAATAAAAATCGTTAACTTAAAAAATAGTTCGAGCCGATTTAGTATGACAATTCAGTGCAGAATTGTTTGGTAATTGTTAAAATTATTGTTTAACTACTTTTTTATCGAATCCTGAATCAAAGAAATTTAGATAAATATTTTTTATTGTTTTTTTTTTAGCATGGCAGAGGATAGCAGGGGACCCGAATCAGACCAATTCATCCAACATGATTCGAAATTCGTCCGGAAAAAAATTGTTTCTAAATCTAAATCAAAGAAGAAAGTTGAAATAAAAGAAGAACAGGGAGGTTTCTTATCCGTTTAGCCTTCATTTCCCTCCGAAACTTAAATATCAATTGTTATCTGAATAAATGAAAATTAATCGTTTTTTTGTTTCAAGTCTTCTAAAATTCAAATAATCTTCCAGAACTTCGTGATGAAATAGATTAGAACCTAATTTAAAAAGATTTAATTTCTCTACTATTGAATCTACTGAAAACACCCTTTGTTAAAAACGAAATTGGATTTGGAAGTTGGTTGTATTCGGTTGTATTTATTTGAATATTGGTTTTTCTTTTTTAAATATTCAAGGTCGTCTTAAAATCTAAATTAGAAAAAAAGAGTAAAAGCGGTTTAAAAAAAATTATTTTTAACCGACTTTTAGAATTTTTTTAACCTTTACAATTATTTTTTTTCTGCTTGTAAACAAAGAAAGTCGTGTATAATTGTTACCCCTGAAAGATAAGAAACTCCAGGTTCATGAAAACGGAGTTATTGTCACAACTAAGCCGATGAGTAGAACAAGCAAACCTCGTAATACAAAATCTAATGGAAAACGAGCGAAGTTGTCCCAAACAAACGGAAGTTTCGGTAAAACTAACATAGTGATAGCTAAAGCTAACGGAAGTAGTGTTAAAACAGGCGGCAGTGAAGTGAATCACAATAGTTCTAACGGTTCTAAACTAACGTTACTGTCGGAAGTGAGTCCTGAGACGAAGGCGGTCCTGGAGAAGACGGAGAGTAACCTGGATATCATGACAAAGAGCCTGGATAAGAGTAAGGAGTACAATGATGGTGATGATGATATTTTGAGGCTGCTTGAGGATACAACGGATACTATAGGTAATCAATCCTCAAGGTTAAAAATATAAAACTATACAAAAAAGAAATAATTAAAAAAAATTTACAGTGAATCCCAGATACATAGACCTTCATAAGTTTTTTTAATAATTCTTAAGAAACTTCTTTTTATTTTTAATTCAAGGTAAATTATTTGCCCTGAAATATGAATGCATTTAATATATTAATATTAAACTCATTTTTCCGCGGCATTTGATATTAAATATGTAATACGACATTATAAAAACACTTGCCATGTATTTATATATCTGGGATTCACTGTAGCTTTTACTATTCAACCTAAAATTGTATTCCAAATTCTAAAAAAAACTTTGGAATTCGGAATATTTGGTTCTTATACCTATGTCACAACTATTATCTTTTTTATTTGCCTTTTTAAAATATTATATTAAGTAACAAATTTCTTCACTTTCTATTTGTATTCGTCCTATTCTTATATGTTTTACTACAAGCGTAAAATATTTGAAATTCAAAAATGTCTTCGCATTCTGTCTTATGCTTACTATAAGTGTAAGAGTTCGAAATTCGTAAATGGTTTGTTCTAAATTTTATTTGAATGTTGAATGTCAAAATTTTTGTCATGTTTTTTCATTTTTATTTTTACAGTCAACAAACTGTTAATTTAAATGTTAATGTTTGAAAATGTCTCCGGGATTTTTTCTATTTTTGAATAATAAAGAAAAAAATACGAAAACTTAAAACTTCAAGTTCCGTATTTGAAAACGATTATTCGCAGGACGAATCCATGGATTCCTGATCACTTTTAAAAAAAGATAATATTTTGCAAATAATATTAATTAAAAAATTTCAGATTCTGAAGGAAAAGTTCGGGGAGGAAGTTACAATAAGGAACTTTATTTTTTTTTTCATTTAAAATATAGAACTCTTCTATTTTTTATATTTGTGAGATTTTTGAAGATGAAGATAAAAGATATTAATTTTAATTGATTATTTGAATAAGCTTATGTAAATATCACAAAAATTGTTTATACAAGAGAATACAGCTTTTTAGCGGATTCCTTTTCATAAAATCGCAGAATTCAGAAAATTTGCATTCAACACCCCCCACCCACTCTCTTTTGACAAGTAAGATAAATCTGGCTAGAAACAAGAATGTGTGGTTGAGATTTATTTGGCAAAGGTCTAGAGGTGTAGGACAAAGGAGTCTAGAAACTAGTTCAAGAATTCCATTTATCGAATTATATATATGTATTTCTTTGTATTTCTTTAATCAAAAAATGTTGCGAATTTTTCTGTTTCCGAAAGTTTAAAAAAAACTTTCTGGGCAAATTTGATTAAGCTCTTAAGTTTTTGCCTCACTTTCAGTTTTCTTTCCCAATAATGATTTACATTTTTTAATATGTTTGTTGTATATTTGTACCGTATTTTTGATAGTTCAAAGATAGAAATATGTAAAAATAATAATCAAATGATAATGAGCTCAGCTTTTTCTTTGTATTTTGTTAAAATGTTATTGGTTTTAATAATAAATATAATTTAGTCAAAAATAAATAAAATGTTAGGGATCTTCGAGCTTGCTTTTAAACGCCACTTCAATCATAACTGGAACATCAAAAAAGGTGAAACAATGCTTAAATTCTTATCACAAAAGTTTCAAGCTTCTGGATTGAGAACAAAGAATTTATAGTCTCTTCTGTCTCAAGAATTTTAAACTTTAACGTTAATGGCTCTTCTTCTTTTACATTTTTCTTCTTAATTTAAAAGATTTAAAGTTCTGATTAGTTTGACAATTTTTATCATAAATAAATCTTTTTTTAATCTATATATAAATTTGGCTTGTTTGTCTGTCTGTCTGTCTGTCTGTCATGTTTGTATCCAATAAACGTCAAAACGACTGAACCGATCGGGCCCAAATTTTTTGTGGGACATCTAGGGAGCCCAGGGAAGGTTTATGAATCATCAAAATTTCAAATATTTGTCTCCATCAAAATTCGATCGTCATTAAATTATTTAAAATTTTGAAAATCCGCGAAATTTTTGGTGAAAATCCGCGAATTATTTTTGTTTAGTTTTACGATGTACACAAAGAGAACATGTTTACAACTAATTTAGAAGATGGGCGCGAAGCGCCCTCTAAGGCTAGAAAGAAGGGCGCGAAGCGCCTTGAATTTCTAGTATTCCTAAATTTTCACAATTTTGCCGAGAAATGAAGAGAAAATCGGTATCCTCGGTTTAGTTTTGTTTAACGACAAATTATAGTTGGAATAATATATTTAAGCTATTTTAAGTTTTAAGACAAATTATGAGATTTTGTTTCTAAAATGATTTGATTATTATTTTGCTATTTCTAAGGGGGAGAATGATATTTATGATGAAAAATTCAACCCAAAATCTCTTCACAATGAATCTCTACCAACCAAGGTATTTAATATATCCACATATTTGAATCTCGTACTTATTTATAGGTTTGGATCAAAAGCAAACATTTTTTATGTAGATATTTAATTAAACTGACTAAAGTTCGAATTTAATTAATTTGTGCCACATCTCAAATCCGCCAAAAACCGGTTTCAATTGAGTGTCGGCTTTAATCTTGAAACATTTTTGAAACAATTTTAAGTGGAACCAATCAAATTTTAGCCGCCGCTCAAATTCTTTAAATTCGGCCTCAGGTATTCGTTATTTCTTAGCTAAAAACTGAACGTTGAACATCCGTTCAGTGAACGTTTGTTTTCGTTCTTAAAGTTAACAATCTTAGTTTCGTAAAATTTTAAGAAAGTCTCAGTTATTTTTTTCCTTTTATTTTTTAAAAAAGTTAAGGGAAAGTATATTATATAAATGCGCTCTTAAATTTCTACATATTTTTTTCTTTCATTTTCACAATATAATGTTTATTACTGCATTTAATCATATAGCATTCAAGGAATTCAGCTATGTATGTTATTAGAATAGTATTACAAATAATAATAATGAAAATGATTTTATAATAACAATTTATTAAAGTATACTTGGGGGTTGTTCAAACGTAATAAGACTCTTAAAACGATTTTTTTCCTTGATTTTTTTTTAAGAAACCGAACATTTGCCTCAAACTCTAATTTTAAAATCCTTATACATTTGCAACCTGTTGTTGTAAATTTTTACTATTTCAAATATTAAAAAGTTAAAACACGAATTATAAAAAGTTTTCACCATCAGGTGGAAAAGAATTTTATATTTTGTGGCAAGTGTCGAGTTGTTTTTAATGAAAGTTTACAAGGGTGAGTTGTAAGATACCAATTTAAAAATCATTGTTTTCATTTATCATTTATCATTTATCCCATCCTTGATTTATTCTTTTTATGTAATCAGACGCCGCAGATTTAAATACATAAATTAGTCTGAAGACTAAACTGCCATTGAGACTTAAATACGACTCAAGAGTCAAGCCTTGCAAAATGTTGGGAATAATTTTTATAAGGCCTAAGTCCGATTTATAAACTATTACATCACTTCTAAAAAACTTGCTAAAGTCGAGACTTACTTTGAATGTTAGAGTTGAGACTAAGATATTAAGATTATACACTAAGCTTTGAAATCGTGGCCTCAGAACATTTAAAGCGGATAAATATACCAAGGTTCAGTTCATCTTTTTTAACTGCAAAGAATCCAACCTTTATTATTCTCTCTCAAGTTTCTAGGATCTACTTGAATATTGATTCACTCTATCTTACATAATCTAGGCTATTCTGTATTTTTTAGACAATAGGTTTACATATACAGAACAATATTTATTCAACCATCTATTGTCTTTTTTCTTTAAAGCTTCGGTCGTCGTAATTTTAGGTGGCACTTCTTTTAAAAAAGGGGGCATGCTTTATTAAAAAAATTACCCCTGAAACCTCAATCTGATTAAAGATATGGAAGATAATGTTGTTTTACTGACTTGAACAGTTTAATTCTGATAACTTCTTTATTGGTTCTGAAGCAACAAATGCGCAAGTCAGTTTTGCAGAGAATCCACCAATGCAAATAAAGGAGTAGGGTGGAGAGTGTGTTACACCAGTTCTTGTTCACGGAAGTTAAGCACATTTGTCCACAGCCAGTAACTGGATTGGTGTCCAGACTGGTGTTCACGGGTTCGATTCCCGTACTCCACACAAACCTCAGCGAATTGGTGCGTGCTTTCTACTTGCCAAGAAAGAAGATTTAAGTGGATTGATACAAGTGAATGATGATGAAGAGAGGAAAGGTGGACAAGCAGGGACAGTCCATGGTTGCCGGCTATAGGTACCTGGAGGTATCCAATCCAGGCCTACAAATGATTGGAAGCAATGTTTCCTATCTGTTAGGCACCCGGGCCTCATTCCAGTATATCAGAAGAATTCCTGCACTCACTTTTCTCAGGCCTACGAAGCTCTTAGGCAGCTGGATTTAGTCAACCCTCTTCTCAGTTTGAATGAAGCTTGGATGGATGAATGTGCTGCCAGATTACAACCCCTGGTAGATCAATATAAACCCAGACAACACCAAATTTTCGTAATAGAAAAATTCCGAGATTTGATCATAACAACCCGATTTTGTCCTGATCTGTTTAAAAAAAAGTTTAAAAACATAGATATCTAATTCATATCTGATCTGACAAAGCTTTCAAAAACAAATTCGTCAGATTTAGGATTTAAACGTTTATTCTAGTGTTCATCTTTTATTTACAGTTTTCCTTCATACATCTTTTTATGAATTTAAAATTTATTGTTTCGTTGACATTTAGAGTTTGCTTAAAAAAATACAATTGATATGTCAAAGCACTTTTCGCTGAACATAACCTGTTTTATTCCAATTTTAATACGTAAGATTCAAAATAATGATTTTAGTTAATTTTGTCAGTAATGAACAAGAAATACACACAAAAACAATATTTTGACAAATTAGTAAAAATATTTCGTGATTATTTTGCAGCTTAACTTAATATTCTTGCACTTCAGCTGGTTTCTAAATATTTTCAGTTTGTTGAAATAATTGTTTGAACAGAAAATAAAACAGTTTTGACTTTTCTTCATCTTATACTTTTCCTCTTTGATGAATTTTGTTTTGGTAATACTAGGATTTAAGGACGTGCTATACGGGTTCTTATTTTTACTGTTACTTACTTTAGATCACATCAATAAAAAGTAACAATTTCAGATTTCGCAGATTTTTTTGATCTTGTTTGTGGATTTCCATTGACCATCCCACGGTACAGTTTTTTAGCCTGATTGGTTCAGTCGTATGAGAAGGTTTATATATGTTAATGAAAAGTGTAGTATTTTTGAACTGCGTTGCATTACTCATAATCTGTCGGTCTGTAAACTAAAATATCATATGTTTCAAGTTTAATACTAGAATTTGATATTATGGAACATGCAGGGATATATATTTATGTTTTCCAGTCTATATATTAATAATACAGTAAAAGCATTTAGTTACAGTAATGATTGTAAAAATGTTTTTACGTTAAACATTTATAAAGTTAATTACACTTTCTTAAACCCTATTCCTTGTGTTTCAGTATAACAGTGTACTCTGGTCTAACAAGGTATTTACTATTTTCTTAGTACAAAACCGGAAATCAAAATTTTGCTATAAAATCTGTTGAAGTTTTTGAATATCTGATTTTCACTTGTTTTGAAACTGTTTTCTTATTCTATGCAGTATGCCATGTGAAACTGTTATAAAGTTGAATTTGACATTTTCTTGAGATTAAATTTATAGTTTGAAGTTTTATTTTTTATTTTACAAACTTTTATACTTCTATAGATTATTAAAAACAAACGAAAACAACTTAAATTCAGCGTGCCCCAAGCCCTCTAACTGTGTCTCGCATTATTAAAAGATATTTTAAGATGCCTTAATTTTAACCCCTTTTTTGATAAATTTTATCGGACACTTATTGTGTCCACTTAAGTTTTTTTTGCCGGGGTTATTTATGAAATTAGATTATAGTCGCCATATTTCTTTTTGCGTTCTCTAAATTTTGTTTAAAAGTTAGGTTTCTTTACAAAAATATTCTATTAAAGCACGGGCATGTAGGTATCCTATTTCAAATATATTTGTAACGTGTATTTATTACTTTCAGTTTAAGAAGCTTTGTCTTACCAGATATATGTTAAAATGCATAGCCTCCCCTTCTGAAACATCTTAAAACTAATTTAAATGTTTTCTTGAAATGAAATGTACGTATAATTTTATTCCTAACTTGAACATTAACTAAAGTTATAATGATATATTTATAACAGGGGTTAAAAGCACTTCAGGCATAATTTCAAGCTAGCCTCCATTTGCAGACTGGTGTGTACGATTCACCACAGTGCCCGTTAAACCTTTGACTGATCATGTATGCCTTATTCTTGTGTATCTCCAGAAACGCTTATAATTTTTGAATGGTTTGTTTCCGAGCTGTTTTATATTTTAGAAATATTAATATTTCCTTTCTATGTAGTTAACATTGTGCGCTAGTGCACACTCCAGCTTTTAGTCAATTTAAACACCATTTAGGAAATTAACACACTGAGTTCTCTGTCTTGGTGATGAGTTAAAGGTTTAAAGTTTATCGTTGTTAATCAAGGATGAATGTTCACTTAAAATCACGCTTATATTTCCTTTAAAGGCGTAAATGGAGGTTTATGGGGGGAGGGGGGGGGGCTAAAGAATAATTTGGGTAAAAAAGAATTGGAACGATAATATATTTTTGCTTTTTATCAAGATCATTATCTATTTCTATATCAAGTTTCAATAGAAACTATTCCGAATAAGTTTCTACAATCATTTTCTTAATTTCTAAAGAAAATTATGTCATTATTCTTTTATCTAAAACTTTTTTAGTTTTTATTGAAAGAAAGAAAGTTTTTTCTTTACTTTGTCAAAAATGTGTTTTACATGTGAAATAACATTGAGTTATGATTTTTAAAAATTATATTATACATACATATTGCATTCCATAATCAGGTTTTAGACGGATTCATTGCCTAATCAATAATCTTATATTTAAACTTCTCGAAGATATTATTGCAAAATAAATTGCATCCATCCTTAAATTTTCAAAAGTTGCTTTTGAAACCTGTTATTTAATTTTTAAAAAGCTCTTTAGTCCAGTTTAATGTTCTAGGCTTTTGGGGCACTAAACACCACTTTTTCTTTTTACATCATGAAACTATAATTTCAGAGATTTTTCTTTATTCATTGAAGGTTTTAGAAAACTTTGCCAAACTTTTAAACTCTGGGAGGCTATAAATCTTTCCAGGGTTCATGCGAGTTCCTTCAAACAAATTTGGACCAGATCGGTTTAACTGTTTTGTATTTGTTGGTTACAGACCAACCATTCAACTCACATACCTGATATACACAATACATATTTGAACAATGTAGGAATCTGATCTGTTTCTTAATTAGTTTTAAAAACTTTGAATTTCTTGAACCTCGATGTTCTGTGCAGTTTGCAATGCACTCTTTATCTTGAATTTGAATTATTATGAATAATATTGCAATACTCCACAAAATATATATCTATGCATTTCATCTAATTGATTAAAAGAGTTTTATATCTATGTATGTTTACAGTGCTTAGCTGTACAAACATAAACAAAACTAGTATTTAGAATTATGTTGTTTATATACTGGACTCAGCAATTATTTATTACCATCTTCCTTTATACATATCCTCCAATAAACACATTCATTATTCATTACTCAATACATTATACATAAACGAGATAAGATATTAAAATCGTTAGGTATAGATATATGTTTGGGGTCTTTATAATAAAGCTCTTCGCTCATGTTCACCAAATTGAAGAATACTGAAGAATATAAGTATTGACGATTATTTGAATTATGCAATGTGAAACATATTGGCTGACATTTTGTATTGAACCTGTGTCTACCCCGGGGGAAAACATGGGCTAAAAACATATGGATTTTTTAAAAATTCCACGGGCAACCCCGGGCACTGCTAAAATCATGAATAACTACCAAGCGCGGGTAAACGGCAGAAGTAAATATGAGTGACCTGGGCATTGCCGGGCACTCCAGCTAAACATATATTTATGTGTTAGACCAAAGTTTTATGGGGAAGCGATTAAATACTATCCAATATTTTTAAGAAAATTATTTGATAACTAGATTTAATGTCATTTACTTTAGTTTTCAGCAGGGGCCTAGGCTTAAATTTATAGAGTTTTTTTTTGAGAAATATATCAAAATCAAGAAAATCTCGATCATCATTTCTTAGATTAATGATTAAATGACAGTTCTTGGTGATTAGATAATGGCATTTCAAGGAGGGGTTCTTAATATTATATTGAAAATTCCTTATTAAAAAAATACAATAATTAATCATAGGAATTGAAGAAATGAAAGGATTACATAATTTCTAGAAAGGCAGCAATACAAAAGCTTGTTAATATTCAGGTTAGAAAGGAAGGAAAGAAAGGAGCTGAAGAAGATTATATTTGTCCTGGAACCTGGTTCTCCTGTCCACGGGAAAGGTAAAAATTATTAAATGTACTTTTCAATTTTATTTGGTATATCGCAATTTTTGATAACGGTTTTCAATTAAATTGGAACATTTATAGCATTCATGATTAATTTTGAGAATACTGCAGTGCATTAAATATTTGCAATGGTACCCATACGGCTTACATTGACAATCATCATTTAGAAAACAATGTTCTATATATCTATATTCTAATTGCGGTTTTTCTTAAATACTTCTGGTCTTTTCAGATAAGAAAAAAAAGTGCCAAAATAATCCTATATCAGAAATAAAAACACAGCTAGTACTATGTTTTGCATACTATACTAAGTGTACTGTTGTAAAAAATTAATGACCTCACAGCTTTTAATTTTTGTCATCTAAAACTTTATTAACTCTCTCTTTTAATATACTAAATTTTAATTTGAGAGCCTTCTAAAATTACACTAGCCGTATCAAACTGAGAAATATGAAATTATTGAAGAATATTTGAATCAGGCAATGTGAAACATTTACCTGGAAAATGTGTTTCTTCTGTTTGTGTTTGCCTGGCTGTTACCCATGTTATCTATCAAGAACAATCAGGTATGAAAGGGGGAAATGAATCCTCAAATTTAAAAGGAGTGTTCGCGAAAGATGAAAGGGGGTATAGTCTTAATGCTATAAAAAAGCGCTTTTGATCGCTACTAATCTTACTTCTATCTGTTGCGTCTATAAGGAGAAAATTGTTAAAAACGACGAATACCGAAGAACGTAATGTTCATACAAATTCGGAAAGATGCAACATTCAACTCGGATCGTAAACAAATCAATTTAATTCCAAACAAATCATTCAGATATTACAAACAGTTGTCATCGATTATATTTCGACGCATTCGTAAATAGTTAATATTTCATAATTTTTTTGATTTTGTTCTTTTAAAATAATTTTTGCTGGAGTTGGTTTTTCGAACATTCCTGGAAAATATGAAAATGTCGTCTTCATTATCAAAAATCCTCGGAACAGGAATAAATGTTTTCAAAAGTAACTCTCAGATCATGAAAAATACAAAATATTATGAAATATCAACTATTTACGAATGCGTCGAAAAATAATCGATGACTATGACTTTCATTAATGCATAACATGATTTAAAGTCAAACTTTTAAAGATTTATCCGGGGAGTGTAATATGAACCTCACTCATTGGTCAACGTTCTGACATTGCACCAATAAAGAATTAGAACTCTTAAATGAACGCAGTGTTAATCCGGCCCCAGCATTTAAAAGATCCCAGATAGACGACGTCACAAGTTCCGTTAACGAACAAATTTATTTTTTATTTTTAAGTAAACGGGAACTTCCATTAACAGACAGATGTTTTTTTAATACTGAAAATTCCGTTGACGAACAAATGTTTTTTTAATGAACAGGAAATTCCCTTTACGAAGAGAATGAACCGTTATGGTGCACTTGGATTTAAAGGTTGCAAGCTCACAAGGAAAAATCGATGATAATTTTGCCAATGATTTCTAAAAACCCACAACTAACAACATCTGCTTTATAATGCTCAAATGTACATGTAACACGCTAGAAGAAAAGCATAAGTGAGTTAGAGTCGTAAAATCAAAGCCTAAGACCATGTTTTTAAAATTGATGAAACCGGCTGAACCTTTGCAGGTCATCATTGTTCGACTCATAAACTAAAAGAATTTAGACGTCAATCTCAGAAAGAAAACCAATTTTTGTAATTATAAATTAAGAAATTCAATCGTTGCGGTTTGTAAATATATCTAATGAACTTATGAATTCGCCAAAATTCTATGACACTATTCCCCCCCCTCTCTCTCCCTCCTTGAGGCTTGCTCTGGTCTGGTTTGCTCCTTTTATTGTAAGTATACTCGTAAATCATCCCAAGAATAAAATCCGAGTGTTGAGCAACTAAACATGGAAGATTTATTAATGGATACTAGAAAGGAAGTATTGAGAGAAAATAAAGATATCTTCGTCTGATAAATAATTTGCTCTGGTTTATATTTATCTACAGCTTTTATTTTTGTTTTATCTTAAATTTAAATTTTACTTTGAACCCATTTTATTTACTCTGGTTGTAATTAATTCTCTTTCTCCCAAGTAAAACTTAGGAAGAACACAAATTTCAAGAATGTCTAATATATGTCTATTAGTCCTCTTCAACTCCTTGTCCATTTGCAAAGGAAAAATATAAAATAACATGAATGAAATGCATTTTTAGTTTTACAACCACAGAATTCTCTAAAATCATTGTCTCATGCAAAAGAATACTTAAGAAGTAAAAACAATTTATTTTCAGTAAAAACATGAATTAGACGAAAGACATGAAAAAATACAGATAAGGCGATTTTCTCATTGTTTACCTAGAGCTGAGCATAAAATTAACACTAGATGGTTAGGAAAAAGGGGGAAGGGGTGATAAACTTCTAACCGTTAGTTGTAAATATTTGACTGTTAGAAGTAAAAAAATACAGACAAACGATGATTTTTTTGTCGCTAGGTGTCTCTCCCACGTGGAACCCCTGAAGCATTGAGAGCAGAGACACCTAGAAACTAAATAATCCTCGTTTAAATTATATTGTATATTAAACAAATATTATTAAATATTATAACTAATTGCGACTGCATTGAATTGAATTCGATGATTATAGGTTGTAATATCTAAATGTTTAATTTTAAATTTAATTGAATTATTTACGATATGTGTGAAATATTGAAATTTTGTGGATTTGTATGGACGCTATGTTCTTCCGTAAGAGTCGTATGTTCTCCTTGTCAGATAGAAGTAAGATTAGTTGCGATCTCCATCGAATTCGATTCGACGTTAGCACCCCCTTCATTTTTCGCGAACACTCCCTTTTAACTTATCTCTGCCAAACTAACTACAGAATGAATATTAAATTGACAATTTAAACTGATTAAACTTCATCCTCTTGTACATATATAATTTACTTCCGTTAAACTTGGGGTTGTCAATTATGGAAATGTCCCCCCCCCTAATTAAGAAATTAAAGTAACAGATTTTTTTACATAAAGCACTTCATCGTTCAAAATCTGTGAATGCTTACTCAGCACAAATATGCTTAAAATTTACACTTCACAATCATTCATTTGAATATACTATTTATTTACTTGTTTTTCGAAGATTACATTTTGTCTGGTTTCAAGAAATCAAAAGCTTTTCTTGTTTTTTCGTTATCAGCACAATTTTTTATGAAAATGAATTTAGATTTTTATTTTTACCGATTGAACTAGCCTGTTTTACTTCTGTGTGCAAGGTCAAAAGATTACATTTATGTTTAAAAAGTAGTGATACACGAATTTTAATTCTCTTTGAATTCTTTTTATGTAGCCATGAAATGAGAAAATTCTCCACAAAAGACAAAGTTTAGATTTTGCTTACAAAGTTTAGACTTGAAAAATTAGATTTGTTCAACAATGTTAACAAAAATATTTGATTTTTAAGCTGGAAAAAATCAGTGTTTTTTTATGACAAAGGAATTGAAAATTCAATTTTTTTTAAGGCGAAGGAATCAAAAGCGCCATGATATCGAGCGGAGAAATCTTGAAGCTGGAAATCATGGAAACCTTATTTCTAGAGCACAGGTATAGGATAAAAACAGAGGCTACGATTTAAATTAAATAATTCAGGATAAATTTGTCTGACTACTAAGCTGCTACTGAGTGCCGTTGAAACTAAAATAATGCTCAAACCTTGAGACATGTTAAAACTTACTTTTAACCTTAGAGTTGAGACTAAGGATTCAGATTAAAAGCGACTTTTAAATCATGACCTCAAGAAAGACAGGAACTGGTCAATTTTAAGGGATTAGGACTCAATACAGAAAGTTAGAAAATACATATTCGTGATCTAGGATGTAATGCAAGGAAAGTTTATTGCAGTTGCGTACACTCTGCGTACATATTGAAACCAGTTTTCTCTGAGCGGAATTTGTAAACAAGAATAGATGCATCATTGTTCGTTTAGTATCCGAGGGGGTTAAAAGCATTAAATTTTGATAATTTTGATAATTTTGATAATTCACATAATATTTTCATATGACCAGAATATTACATTGATTTTTTATGTGAAAGATGGATCCCTAATCAGGCTTCGACACCCGTTTTGTGTTTACATTACCGCCCAGAGACAGTACACTGCAGTACAAAAGATGCGTACACCTCTGAAATAACTTTCTTTGCATTACATCCTTGTTCGTGTTTATGTTTATGGAGTACAATTTACTCGCTGTAATAAATATAAGATATTTAAGCCATTTTAATTTTACTTATTTTTAGAACGTTCTGTCCTCACAAGCTTCAAGACCTTCATCCCCAAGGTAAGAAAGAGATATATTATGAGGTTAAATGGGGATTTAAAAGTGTTCGTATGCGTAAATAAAGATTATAAAAGCGTAGTTTCAAGTTACCTTTGACTTTTAGAGTTGCATGCTTGATTTTTAGAGTTGCATGCTTGATTTTTAGAGTTGTATGCTTGATTTTTAGAGTTGTATGCTTGATTTGCTATGGTATTCCCATCTTTGTTCAAGCAAAAATGACGTGGTAATGCTTGTTTTAATTGAAAATTAAGTTATAGTTTGTTACAAATGTAACGCCTTAAAATCTACACAATGATCTGGCATAGAACTAAGACCACTGATCCAACCAAGATTGTACACTGGGGACTGGTACAGTGTACATTTGCACGATATGATACTATTATTTTAAAAGTCTCATTTTCTATGGATAGCCCTGCACACTGCACTTCTGTTCAATTTGTAAACAAAATATAAGACCGGACATACAATAAATATCTGGGGAATGGGAAAATGTTAGGATTTTCTGAATCTGAAAAATATCTTTCTTTTTATATATGTACAGTGTACACTGTACAGCTGTGTTTCTTTTTTCATATTGAAGTATGGATTAGTATTAGGCTTTTAGCGCCCTTTCCACAGAAAAAGACGCAGAAAGTAAGATTGTAGGAGAAAAATCTAAATATTTAAAAATCTAAGAGTTGTACTTGTAAAAACGATCGATGATATCTTCATTATGATTTTAAAATATTTGACTCATTGGCGGATTTGAAGAGAGGGAATGCCTAAAAGAATGGGGTAAGTCCCTCCCCTTGTATAAATTTAGGCGCAATATATAGAGAGGCCCCTCTTATATATTGAGATACTTATTTTAAGCCTCCCTCTTATTTTGTGCACAATGCACCATGCCTGCAGGTAGGCTATAAGATCGGGAAGAATGAACCCAAAATAAAGAATGATATCTTGGGATGAAAAACTATTTTAAAGAAATTGCTCCAATAAAAATAAATGAAGCCTTTATAAACCTTGGTCAGCTTTAGATCAGGAAATATTTATCGTATCATCCAATCAAATAGCAGAGTTCTAAATAGAGATAATATCATCAAATGAAAAAGATAGAACAGAAAGTGTTTGTCAAAAATAAGTCTAATGCAAGAAAAAAATTTTAGTTTCCATTTTGGGGAGAGAGCATTTTTCTAGAATTCTGGTGAAAATGAGAAAGGAGTATAGTCAGAAGGTGCAGAAGTGATTATGGGGGCAGAGGCGCAACTAGGGGGGGGGGCGGCCGGGCTTGCGCCCTCCCCTAGAACCTGAGAGGGGGTGGCGCGCCCCCCCCCTGCAGAATGAAAAGAAAGAAAGAATGGCGAAAATCAGTATCACAGGAATAAGAAAACCAATAGAGTTATTATGAAAGAGGAACTGCTTGATATTATATTCTGTATATATTTACATAAATAAATATTCATTATGAATTATAGTATATATATTAGCTAGTTTTTGTGACGTATTTGGACTGCTGGGAGCTAGTTTTCCTATCGTCCATACCTGTAGTTGGTATATAGTATATGAAAAACTGGAAACACAAAAATATGTGCAACCCTAAAGTGAAATTGACGAAATTTGAACATCTAATTCGGAATCCTAATTCGAATTAAATAGTCTAAATTACATTTTCTGAAGTTAACAAGTGGGTTGTTCACACAGTATTCTGCAATCCTTGTTAGAGAATATAATTTATTTTTTATTTTATATTTACATCCAGTTGTAGGAAACCTTTTCAAAACATCTCCAGTTTCTATTGAATTGGATTGATTCTTATTTTTTTTCTCTTATTGCAGCATTTTTGCACACTTTTTCATGTATTGTCAACCAGAACAAATTTTACCTTCAGCGCCTTTTTTGATGAATTTATTCATCCATATTATTTATATTATTACTAGCCTTGGAGGGCGCTTCGCGCCCATCTTCTAAATTAATTGTGAACATGTTCTCTTTGTGTACATCGTAAAACAAAACAAAAATAATCGCGGATTTTCACAAAAAATTTCGTGGATTTTCAAAATTTTAAAAAATTTAATGTAGATCGAATTTTGATGGAGACAAATATTTGAAATTTTGATCATTCATAAACCTTCCCTGGGGTCCCTAGATGTCCCACAAAAAATTTGGGCCCGATCGGTTCAGCCGTTTTGACGTTTATTGGATACAAACAGACAGACAGACAAACAGACAGACAAGCCAAATTTATATATAGATTACTATATATAGTCTGGGCTTTCTGGTTTAGATATTGTACCACCTTCAATATTGAGTAATCGACTGTCAAATCTATCAAAATTCTACAACGATTTCTTCGTTTTATCTTTTATCCAACATTTATCTCCGACAGTTTTAGATCAATTTTACCTATTTTTCCGAACTTAATACAGTTTATAAATGCACAAAACTTTTGTATCATAGATTTCTGAGATAGAAGGCTACATTTGGGTATATTATAGTTTCAAAAGTTATTTTTTAGATTTTATTTATCTTTTCAAATTGTTCTGTTTTTATAACAGTTTGTTATCTTTTGTTCTTCTTGTGTATCAAGATATAGATATTTCTTCAACATTTTCATCATCAAAGTTTTTTTGCGTCCACAGTTTTTATCAATAATAATTCAAATTTTCATCTTAATTAAATTTTAACATTTGATAATACATTATAAGATTATTATCAAATATTATAGCAATCATTATAGTTATCTTCTTAACTTATATTATGTAAAATTTTTAGTTTGACAGAAGATATAAAGCAAAAAAAAACTTTCACTTTCTTTTTAAACTGTGCAATGGTTCTCTGTCTTAGTTAATATTTTTTTTAGTGTAATAAAAGCTAAGTTTTAAAACATGCAATTTTGAAATTTGTTAAACTTCTCATATTTTTTGAGGAGTATCTTAAATAAAAAAAATTACGAAATGTTAGTAGTTTAAGGATGGCGAAACTTTTGTTGGAACAGCACTTTGTTTTCTTGACTGCACTCGCCATCTATAGTGTAAGTGTAATCTTTTGAATTGAAAGATTTAAGTTTGACAGGGGTGGTGGGGCATGACAAAATAAGAAATACAAATTTTGCACTCGGTTCGCATCATAAGTATTATCCAGTACTAGCTACCTGTTCCTCTTGTGTCTTGGAAGTCTCAAACTTTATTTGTATTTAGGAAGGTTGAAGATAGCCGTGAGGTTGTTGAGGATGTGGATGTCGTCTTTTTACATACTCAGCTGGCACAGAGGGTAAATATTACTTTCGTTTCATAGGATCAAAATTCCCATCATCCTATGTCAAGTTTCATTTGGACATTTTTCCCCCAATGGTTCATATTTCCTTGAAGATTCTCCTCGTCCCTCACAAAAACCTTTTTGTTTCAATATTTTATTAGGAAATCTTTAAGCAACGAAACACATTTACTGCAATAGTTATTAACACAAGCTAAATTTTGAAGAAAAACCAAACATTTCTTTTGTGGGTAAAATAATCGATACAAATAAAAATTACTCTGTTCTACGTCTCTATCATTTCCTATCCACATCACATCGACTAGAACCTAACGTTTTTTTTAAAATCAGAGTAGGATTGTTTTTACATAACTCTGTAATAGAACAAATTTTCGGAGGGCTGATTATAATTTTTCTATTTCTGAATTTTATGTACTTTTTTCATTTTGACGCAGTATGATGCAATACCTTTATACTTAAATGTTGGAAGAATAGCTATTAATCACTGTTTTGAGTTTTTCTAAGGTAGCCTTAAATTACCATAATATTATTCCCAGTAGCCTACTATAACAATATCCATATTCATATATCATAAAATAAATAGAATACTACATTGAAAATGCACAACTTACGTTTAATAGAAAAAAGGGGGTGAAATATAAGAACAAGAAACCTAAACGAACCTAACATTAAATATTTTTTATATGCATTTGTTTCTTATGAATTATTAGCATTAAAAAGTTCGATTTTTGGCTTTGAATGTTTTAATGAATTTTATTTTAACTATTTTTTTGCTTTCGTACAGTTGCATTAAATCTCTGTTATCCTAAAGAATTGGTTATATTTGGCATTTAAAAAAAGTATTTATAGATATTTAAAGATATTTTGACTTTCAGGAAGACCAGCTTCTTTACTCTAATTGTATATGGTCTAAAAGTATATTTATTAAATGTTAATATTTGCCTTAGATACAAAATTAAGTCTGAACGAAGCCACCCATGAATCTTGTTCGTTACCTAACTATTTAATATTTTATTCAGTCGTATAATTTCCGTCAGAGTAAACACTTTGCGGAGCACACTTTATAAATTTATAATATATTTATATTTAAAATATTATAAATTTAAATTTTATCTAAATGATAAAGCTAATATATGTATACAGTTATTGCTGGCCAAACGGCTGAACCAAATTGGGTGAATTTTTAAAGAAACCCACGTGTGTAACTTAGGTTTAAAAAATCAAAATTTCTTTTGGTTCAAAGTTTGGATTTTTTCCTCAGTGTTTTTAGGGAACCCATGGTTATCTGACATAGGCTAAAAAATTTCAAAAATTTTTCTTTTCAAAATCAAAATTAAAATTTTTTTTTTTTTTTTAACGTTCAACGCCGGGCACTTTAGCTAGTAATGTATGAAAATATAGATTATTTTGTAGCTACCTATTAGCCAAATTATATTGATTGCTCATAAACGGCTGGCAAAAAATTGCTTGCAAAATTTATCAGAATTCAGTCTTCAAAGCTTTATCTGTTGAGGACATTGACTAGTACTGGCTGCTGCACCTCAAATTTTTTTCCCCAGTTTTATAAATTTTAAAAATTATGTCTGTTCCTTTTCGTGAGTTAATTTTGATGAAAATCTAAAACAAAATTTTTAATTAGATTTAATCTATTCATCCAAAACTATATTCTGCGTTTCTTACTAACTAGGATCAAATCAGTTACATTTGAATTGAAAAAAGAAAAATCTTGTCAAATCTACCATTATGAACGCATTACAAGTAATAGAGTTTATGTATTTTATTCGCATTATCAAAGCCTTCTCATTCACTCGATCAATCCCAATTTTATAAGGAACTGTTTACTCGTCTCAAACTCAAATTTTTAAATCCAATTATCATAGCAACCTGATGGTGTAAACCAATGATATTTAATCTACTGAATCCGGTTACCATAGATATTACAGTCATGAGGAAAGTTTTCACTTCACAGTTCCTTTTGACCCGTTTTTTCTATTTTCATACCATGTACATTGTCCATTGTACATTGTACATTGTACATTGTACATTGTACATTGTACATTGTACATTGCACATTGTACAACAATATTAAGCAATGAAAAGACTCCGAAAAACATGGTATCTGTACGAAAGATCCAAATGTGAATGCCCACGATAAACGTAAATTTATTAAGGTTTTAGACGAGATTGAAAGAGCTCCTGGTTTTCATCCCTGCTCAGGAAGCAAAGGTAGAAAAAAATCATAACAATTTTCATTAATTGCAAGTAATTTAATTTGAGTGGAAATATTATTGTTATTTTGCAACAAACTTGTCATCATTCGAGGCACTGTTTGTAAATAAATTATTACCTAGATGTTGCACCAAATCCCAGAAGAATTCAAAACCGAGAGACTATGCAACGGGTTGCGGCATCCCTAGCTGTTAGCGCACAGGGAGATGTTCCACAAAGGACCTCCGCCATTTTGTCCGCCATCACCGAGGAATATCAGAGTATCTGTGATTCAGAAACAGTACGTATCTTTTAGGGTAGACAGCAGGATTTATGTAAAAAATATCCCTTGCTTGCTGTCAATTCAGATTTTCTAGGATCTGATTAGTTTCTTTTTGGGGTCCGTCCTAGTATACGATTTTTGGACCCCCCCCCCCCTCCTATCAATTTTGTACATGACCACTTATTTTTCAGCAAATTTATTATTATTTTATTATTTAGGGCTAGGTTAGGTTAAGACACTTTCTGGGCCGAGCGCTGTGGCTAGGACAGGCTAGAGGGCCGAGCGCTGCGGCCACATGACTTACACTTAAGAATTGATAGGAGGGGGGGAGTCCAAAAATCGTATACTAGGAAATTACCTCTTTTTGTTTAACCCACCTATTTCTGATATATTTTTCAATAAATTTCTTTCCACGAAATGGATTTTTATTTAATGTTGCCTACGTTTCTTTTACAGAAATTCACACGCTCTAAACGAAATTCATCCAAGAATTTACTTGTCTTTTTTGTTCAAAATAGATCAAAGTTGTCGAAAAGAACCAATCAGATTTTGATATCTGAATTTTGTATTAACACAATTTTGAATTGGAACTTTAGTTTGTATAAACTCAAACAAATGGTTTAAAAAAGCGTCCTGAACTGAAATAAAAACATAACTTACTTCGGTTATAAACTTCATATTTTTTTGGCCTTAAAGGAGTGGAGTCTTGGCCACAAACCCAATTTTCATAATCCCTATATCTTTGCAGCCTGATATGGTGTAAGCCTTTGATAATTCAAACTTAGATTATTTGCTCTAACAGAATTAATCAGAGTTTGGGACAAAGACTCAATTCCTTAGTCAAGAGAAACTTGGAAATTAAAATAAACACTGTACACTCAGTATCTAAATATTTGTTAAACCAACCTAGGCCTAGGCCAATACATTTATCGAAAAATATGGAATTCGTAGTTCTGTCTTACTTTATTTTAAGGAATCACAAAGAACACAAACTTTTTTGTTTGTTAATGAAAACCATTTTCAGGATTCCCCTGTGGTGCTACGACGAGAAAGCAAACCTCAAAATATTCCATCACAGCTGAATCTCCCGCTTAGGAATATTTTTAGTCATTAGTTTTTAGCAAGGGGAATTACTGATTTACGGCGGTACACTTAAAGCTTTTTTGATCAATAATGTAAAAGACAGTGTCGTTTTTCTATCTTCAAAGTATTTAATTCTGATAATTTCTTCCCATTTTTTTTGATATGCGCAATTTACCTATTTAGAGAAATCGCAATTAAAAACAACGAATTAAAGAGATAAAAAAAGAATTCTTTCTTGATCAGACAAAGCTTTTAAGGGTACCGTTGTGAATTCGGTATGCCATCTTTTTTGGGGAGTCACTTAAAATGACAACTTAAGTCCATTTTATTGTTATTTATTGAATGAAACTATAAATATTTGTTATCAGTGATAGAGAGAGTGATACATTCTTCAGCTCAGGGAATCATTTTCTATCATTTTAATCAATTTATTCTTTTCGTCTTTATTCACTTTTTTCGCATCGTTAATCACTTCATCGACTATACTTATTTTCGTTCATCTAATTAATGTTATCCAATTCCCTCACTTAATTCACTTCATCTAGATATTTAACTCACTTCCACTTTATTCCATAGATAAAGATAGATTGCGCATAGGACGACAGTTTTCATCTTGAAAGATATAAATGTACAGAGATGTTTTAAAGATATTCCTATTATATAGATTAACTAGGTCGGTTGTGAACATTGGCTGTTCTTATGGCATTGAGTATTTGTGGTGTACATGAGTTCTGTAGAGAGAAATTTAAGTTAGTTTAGTCCTTCTCATGTCCTTCTTCAGTTCTTGTCAATATGATATATTGCTTAATGAAATATTGTTTTTCAAATAGTTCCATTCTCGGAGTTATTTTACACTCTATTATGAAATCTATTAAAACACCAAACCACCCCGCTTATCATTGAAGTACACGTTGACCCCTAGAAGTATGAGTTCGCGGACTGTACAATTCTTGGTGATTTTGCGTACATAAGCTATCTATGTTTATTTATTTATCTATGCTTTATTCACTTGTACCATTTAGTGAAATTTAAAAATCTATAATTTAAGGGAATTCTCTATTTCCAAATTTTATACTCAGGCACTGAAAATTCTCCACTCTTGAATCTAATATTGTTTCCTGGAAAAATATCACATTTCTACTTGCTCTCAACTTTTCTCCATGACATTTTTTGAAATTTGCAAGTTTATATTGTGCAGTTTTTATTTTTCATTGTATAAAACTTGAAACTTTTATTCAAAGCCTGGAAAAAGAAAAAGATCAATATATTTGAAGAAATTGCTAAAATACAACAGAAAAAAAAGATGATTTATTAGAATCCTTGGCTGCGTCAGTCCCTGGATCTCCTCTAACTAACGGAGATCGTGATCTTGCCTCAGAGATCCGGTTCTACAGTTTACCAACATCAAACATTACAAGTAAGGTAAAAGGTGAGGCGAAGCTTTTTGGGTTGATTTGGAGTTTTAAAGGAAGTTTGGGAATTTTTCAAAATCCCGAAATACTAATTTTGTTAGATAGATACAAACTTATTGCCGTAGCAAAAAAAATATAGATTTAAAAGTCAATAAAACTGATTTTCAAATATTTGGATTAATAGGGGATAGAAAAACATAAAGACACTTGTTATAGCCTAAAAATATCATATGTAATTTAAGCTAGAAACAAAACATATCTTTCGAAACAATAATTGGGGGTAAACCCCAAAAATCATATGTAGGAATCATAGTCTAATCTCACAGATGCGCTGGAACCAATGATTGATTCTGTTTTTTATACACTGAAAAATAAAATCTTAGAAATATCAAATACTGAATACATTTAATAATGAAATACAAAATAAAGATCAAAGTTTACATACCAAATTGTGCACTAATGATTGGTAAAAATATAATTTAAAATAAACATCAAATATGTTTAGTACATTACTATTCCAATATAGACACTATTAAAGTTACTGACTACACAGTATGCAATGCATACATATTACTTATATTCTTTCCAGGATATTCATTTACTTAAAGTACACTCCAGTCTATGCAGTCCTAATTATTGTATCAACCATATATGTATGTATACAAAAATATAAATATAAAGATATACACAATACATAGATAATTGTAACATCATGAAAAAAGAAATTGAGTTTTTGCCACAAGTTAAAATTTTCTAGTCTTTATAGATTTGCAACCTAAAGGTATACACCTTTTTATATTTCAAACTTAGGATTGTTTGGTCTAACATGATTCATAGTTTGAAATATCAAGGGTCTACGACATTGGGTTGCAAAGATATTGGGATCAGAAAATCATAGTTTGTGGCAAAGACTCAATTCCTTTGTAGACTTTAAAATTCATAAATAACTGTCAAGTTCTTCTTTTATATTATGCATAATTATTTTTGAGATATAGTAATATGCATACACTATACACTGTTATATGTAAAGGAACTGAACACTTTCAACAAACTCAAATTTTCTAGTCCCTAATCTTTGCAATCTAATTGAATTGTAAACCTCTGGTTTTTAAGAATTTAAGGTCTACAACATTCGGCTTAAAAGATGTACAGTGAAACCCTTAATAGCGAATACATCGGAAGAATTTATCAAATGTCGTCTTGACAATTTTTCAATGAGTTTTATACTATATTACGTAAATTTCAGTATTTGCGAAAATAAATAAATAGCCATGAATATGCGGGAACAGTTTTAAAGAGTTCCATATAATCATTTAATTAAAAAACTAAATATCTGCTTCATTTCATTATCAGAAAGTGAAGAATACGACATTTGATGAAATCTTCCGATGTATTTGTTATTAAGGGTTTCACTGTAGTAGAAAATAAAAATTTTTGGCGAGTGTTCAATGAGTTCAGTTCTTCTACAAAAATTGTTAAAAAGTTGCAGCTTAGCACAATTTTAGATTTCTAGGATAAAACTGACTATTCAGATGTCTGAAAAGATCTTTCTATTCTAAATTAATCTAATGTAAAAGCTTTCAGCTGAGATTGACAACTCTGGGGTCTCCCCTGAGTATTCAGAGAAACATATTTTTTACAAAGCAACTGGAATTTTTTTTTGATTTCATTTAAATTCAAAATTATTTAATCTTGATGAACTTGTAAAAATTTCCCTGATTAATTTTCTAATAAATAGATAATGTCTCATCTATATTCTAACTTACAATAATAAGGAAAATGTGCACCCTTCACTCTTTAACCTTCTTAATATCAATGCGACAATTTGTGAAGGGGTGAGAACGCGCAGAGGTTTGCAGAATAAGTGTGAATTAGATATCCATGTTTTTGAAAACTGATTATTTGGATTCGTGGTTTTTCTATGAAAGTGCATTTTTTCCTTCAGAAACAATGTAGAAAAACTATATTTAACGCTTGTTAAGCTAGAAAAACGACGTTATCTTCCACAAGATTAATTAATGGTACCATTGAATGAATCGGACATCCGATTCATTAAATGGAAGATCACCTAACATTATAAGCGACAATAATGGATAAAATGGATTTTAAAATAGCCTTACTTAATACTAGATTAGCATTTGCATCAACCATTTAAAGTAATTCTAAAAGATGTTCGCGAATTTAGTTTTCAAATAGACTAATTAAAAAGGGATTAAAAATTAGATAAATTCTCTTTAAAAGATGCTCGGAGCTCACTCAGTTTCATGTTTGTTTGCAGAAAGTACAGCGTCGTGATGGATATATTCATGTAAACTCAATTGCAGTATAGAAAACAAATAAAATAGATTTATATAGGCATGTTTATAGAGAAAACAAATAAGATTAGATGAACATGAAGAGACAAAATAAAAAATAAATCGAAAAAAAAAATATTCAGTCCTATTTAAATTCTAGGATTAAAACGTTATTCTAATTTATAAAAAGAATATCTCCGACCAGCAGGGGCGTTTACAGGAATTTGTGCCGCGGGACTTCAATTATTAATTTTCTTATAGTTTTATCTTTATAATCAGACGTTAAAGACCTTTAATATTTAAACAAAACTCTGCTAGATAAAACCGTTCAAGCACGAAATATAAAAAATTTACACTCTCAGGCTTCAAAGAGAGATAAACTTCTAAATTTGTTATAATTTACGGTGACAGTTGTTTTTGCTATTCTTAATTAAATGCTTGGTTTCTGACTAAGATTTAGTTATTATTTATTAGGCCTTTTTATTATACTAAAATAATCAATATAGTTTTTATCATCTTTTATTTTTTTAGATGGTGAGAAGCCACCCTACCATACAGCTGGTGGTAGTATTTCTTCCAGTTCGACAAGATTTCTTTCAAACCCAGGTATTTAAGAAAATAAAATGATTTCGCGTCATTTTACAATTAGTTCAAGTTCAAGTTCAGTTTAGATAGAAGAACGACTTATAAATAACAACCCCCCTAATTAGAATTAGTTTTACGTTCTTAGGTTTAATTGTAATGCTTCCAACGCTTTTATTCAGGAAGTCTGACTTCGGGTTCCGGAAAATACTTCAGTGCGCAAGAAAGCCTGAGTTCCGGTTCAAAAAATTATTGGAGCGCTGCGGAAAGTCTAACTTCGGGTTCAACCCGATATTTCAGCGCTGCAGATAGTCTCGACTCTGAAATTGAGACACGTGTTAAACCAGAGATAGTGAATGCAACATGTGGTGTATCTTTTCTCAACTGTGATATTTCCGGAGATAATAATAGAATTTCCGGTTCGTGCATAAATGATCATGATGTTGACCAATGTATTCAATCTGAAGGATTGGAACTGGGAGGGACGGATCAAGTGGATGGATTTGAAGACAACTCTAAAACTCAACTATGTGATTCTAAACTCGAAACTAGTTCTGGTTTTCAATATTCTCTTCCAAACCAAACCACCAAAGAGGCATCAACTCAGGTAGAAAACAATAAGGCATACATTTTTAATTACAGGAATGCGAATTTTAAATTTTGTGTTAACATTGGCATTTTGATTTGATTTTTAAACTAAGTAATTTTAGATTTTAAAGTATTCTTGATTTAGTATTTTTCGTTATTAAACTTTTCATGCGGTAGCATGCTTTTCATTAAATACACCATAATACTATGTTGTTCAATCTTGACAATATTTGTCGAATATTTAAAAAAAAAATTTATAGAATCAAACAAGCAAAGGCATAATATCATTAGTATTATGAAGCCTTTAAAAAGTTTAAGAAATTAACGATTTTTAATTCTATTCAAGGCACAGTGAACAGATTTTACAATTTTTTTTCTTTTAAATAAAGATGAATATTTGAATCCTATAATACATATTCCCAATTACAGGCTTTACTCGAGAATGAACAGACATGCTTAGTATTTTTTTTATCTTATAACACGGTTTTTTTTAGAGAAACGTTTTGAAAAACTGGTCTCTTCAAACTTCGAGGAAATCATTCATTAATTATTTATTATTATTATTTATTGTTTAAATATGATTAGGTATTTATGCAAGTACACACAAAGGACAAATCTACCCCAAATGTGCGTAAATGGGTTCAAAAATGAAAACGTATGGCCGATAAAACTTCGACAAATGACCTAATATTAGTTCTTTCAACTTATCTTTTCAAAGGTTCTCTGGAAAACGCGAAGAAAAAGTATGTTATTACAACTTTTTTAATTGATTCATCTAAGCTTTGATATGGCCAACTTTTTAATTCTTATTTCAATTTTTCAAAAAAAAAATTGTGATTTGAGTAGAGTTTCTGGTCGTCTTATGAACAATATGTTCGGCGAAATCCAACCCGAGGACGACGGTGAGGACAAAGAAGAAGAGAAGGAGGTAGAAGTTGCCTTGATGAGCGACAGAAACAAAAATAATCAGGAATATTTCAAATTGAACAACTTTTAAAAAATTAGTTCTGAATAAGATGGGATTATATTTATAATATGTGCAATATCCATTTATTTTTGATGGATTGACTTCAGACGGTATTATTTTAACTTAATGTTTTCCTGAAAATGATGTAACCCATGACATCTTTTTACTTTTGAATTAGTCTGATGCATGGGCCTGAAATTATTTTTTTCTCTTAAAAACCTAATAACCTAATTGACGACGGTTCCCTTTAAACTCTTATTGGTATTTAATCCGCAGAAACGCTTGAAATTGTTGATATCTTTGTATGCACGCTGTTCTATCTTTTAAAGTTATTTTTTATTTATTTGCAGAGAATTAAAATTTGGTAACGGCATTGTACAAATAATATTCCGAATTTTAGGAATTTAAGAACGGGAAATTTGTAACGTTATTCCACACTGTGCACTTGAGTTCTGTTAGTAAATATTTAGCAAGAAAATGCGGCTTTTTTATCGTCGTCGATAATCACACAAAGACTTCAAGTGTACTGTACAATGTACATGTCACTCTGTATATGAAAGGTTACTTGAAATTACATCAACAGTGCCTGTGAGCACCGACTCATAATTACATATTGTGTTTGTTTTTCTTCAATACTTGATTTTTGAAATATTTCCAGATCTGTGATAGAGATAAGGTTCTAAGGTTGGATATTCTTAAAACATTGATTCTTTAAAAAAGTAAAAAAAAATTGTTGTTAAATAGTTTGTGGAAATAGTTCAAAAATAGATTGTTGCGCTTCAAGACACTGTATGGATTGTATAATCAGAAACTTCTAAAATCTTAAATAACAAAAAAAACGAAATAGCTAATTGATGAAAAATTTAAGAGTACAATAATCATCTACATTCTACACTCTTCTGTGTCTTTTTATCAAATATATCATTTGAGTGTACTGTAGTCAGAGGCGTATTCAGGGGAGGGGGCTATGAGGGCTAAGCCCCCTCTGGACCAGTGATATCTATTGATTTCAGGGGGTTTTCAGGCCCCAACATGTGCTGAGCCCCCCCCCCCCTTGGACAATTTCCTGAATAAGCCCTTGACTGTAGTGTACTTTTGTCTGTTTAATTAAATATGAAATATATGGTTATTGGAGTAACGTTTAGTACACTTTTACTGTTTTTTACATCTTGTCTGCATGTTATTTTATTTCGAAAAATTTAAACATTTAAGATGTCTTCAGTACAAAAAAAAACACCATTAAAATAACGAAACCTCTACAGGGTGACCCAAAATAAAGGATTAGGATTTTCAGCCCCCTTAATCGTTAAAAATGCTCGAAAATGTGCCCTATCAATTATTTTTTAATTTTAGAAGGGATTGTTTAAGTAGGTTTTTGTTGTCCAATCCTTCCATTTGATGTAAAACTATGTCAAATATCCGAAAATCTCTTTCTTAAATTTAACTATCCAATATTGTCTAAGAAACAAAAAAATCGTTTAAATATGTCTGAACCCCCTGAGCTTATTCTTCTGGGCTATCTGAAATCCAAGGTAAATACGTAGTTATAAACCCAGATTCCAGAACTTTATGAAGAATAACCTAAAAAAGAGATGTTGCAGCAATCCTTGCCCCCAAGGCCATGGTTGGAACAGCTTTGATGGACCTTGGAATTAGGCATTTTTTTGCATGGTATCAAATTGAGGCTTCTTTATAAAATATTGATATAAAAACATTAAAGTGACCTTATTAAGTATCCATTATTATAATTCCAAAGCATTGTTGTTTTCTCTCTGCAATATAGATTTGTATAGATTAATACAAATTATTAGTTGTTTAAAGTAAACAGTAATGTAAACAGAAAGGTTTTCGAAAATTCGACACAGTTTTACGCCAAACGGAAGCATCGAACAACAACATGTTAATTAAATGACCCCTTCTAAAATTAAAAACTATATGTTGGTGAAATTTTAACAGATTATTGGGCCTTTTTGTATAGGTCAAAGGTTTGAAAAAAGGTTAAAAGAATGTAGACGCTAATAAAAGAAATTTCTTTAGTTAAGCAATAAAAGTATGACAGCCTCCTAATCATTGCAGTTTTTACTGTATATCCGTTGTCTTACTATCTAATAATTGTATAATATAATGTAATGGCAGCAATCAACCAGCTATTTTAGGAATACTTACGATACAACCTGGTTCCCTCGGAAAACTGGAAACCTTAAAGTGAAGGTCAACTACACTTTCGTAACATGATAAATATTAAATATTTTATCCATTTCAATGAATTAAAAAATACTATCATAAATGCATATAAGCTATGTTTTAAAAGTTTAAAAAATGGGATTATAATGGTATTTTTCTTGAATATTGAATACCGATTGCTTCATCTTGGAAAATTCTTTCAAATTTTCTTCAATAAACTTGTTAAAAGTTTTGAGTTTGCAGGATTTCTAATTTATTTGAAAAATTCCCCGGATACTCTTTTAAGTACTTATTTTATGAAAGAACAAACAAATGGAAAATTTTAATATTTTAAAAGATGTTTGTTTGAATATTTTAATCAAAGGCAAATCATAAGTATTAAAGTATCATTTGGGTTTCCAATTAGAATTCCGTTGCGCGGAATTGCACGCAACTGTGCGGAATTGAGCGCAACTGTTCTCGTATTGTGCGCAAGTAAAATCCACTTACGTTAGACTCCCCAAGTATTATACAAAAAGCAAGATAAAGCATAATTTTATTCTTTAATACAAAATATGGTTGGTGTTAATCTAATTTATTTATGTAATTTAGGTTGAGGAACAAAACCTTCAGTTAAACTTTTACAAGGAAATAATCATTAAATCAAATATTTGTTTAGAAAAATCAGTTTTTAAGCTGTATTCTGCAGTAATGTAATTTGTCAAGCCTTTTCTTTTTATAAGAATTCAATTTCATTTTGAATTTTTAAACTTCAATTCCTAAATTAGAAATATTTTGAATAAAATTTAAATATTGATATTTGGAGCAGGAAAAAAAGCTTGGCGGAACTAAGAAACTGCTGAAATCAATAACAGGGTAAATATTTATTTATATTATGCACAGTGCACACGTCAAATTAAAGAAAATATAATTTTAGATTGAAACTTGACATGTTTTCAACATTATAGCTTCGCTTATTGAAGGGGTGTTGAGAAGAATAATTTTGTTCTGAATTTTTAATAAGCAACCAAAAAAATTAGCTTTCTCGTTCTAAAATCCAAAGTAGAAGGTATAAAAGATCACAATGACGCACAAGTACTTTCGGCAAAAATTTCACCTTTTCCTTTCGTCTTGAATGGAGTCTGTACTACGTGCAGGGTATGTACAGAAACAAGGGAAAACATTGTGACCTATGCTTATCGTGCACTGGAAAAGGGATGAAAAGTCAAATCTTGAAATGTTTCTGTCCAAAACTTGTATCCCTTTACAAATAATTGTTGCGATTCAAGAAGTAGGCACCGTTCAACAACATAATAAAATGTTGGTAGTTTTCAGAAAATAAATCTATGTAGAGGAGGGGGGGGGGTGAAGAAATAATCACCTTCATGATTTATCCCCCTTAGTAAATGCCTATATACGCCACAGCTATGCTGCAGGAAAAAACCGTGATTTTTTTTACATTTTGAACATTTTGAGCATGTAAAATATGAAAATGTTTGTTCTACTTTCCTACCAAGAAATATTTTTTTATGATCTGGGTTGAAGGTTTTTGGTTGAATTTATCAAACCTATATTTTTGATAGTTTTGAACTAATATATTATTTCTCTATCTTCAAACTTCCATATATCCTCAATATATTCTATTGAAGACTATAAATACAGAAATCTTGAATGTTAAAACAAGGTTTAAAGTTTTTATAACGTTAAATTTGGTTTTGCTTACCTAATATCTTGACTATTTTATGCATGTAATAAAAATGTGATGAAAGTTTTGGATGTTCCAAAAATATGTGAAAATAAAAAAATATAATAATTCTTATAGGAAATTTGAAGACGATAAAAATTCCACAGTATTCTGGTTCTCACCGTAATAATTTATCATTAAATTATTGTAGAGTTGATGTTCCCAGTATACATCTTGTTGTTGTTGTGTACAGTAAACCAAAGGATCTACAATCAATTATCAGTAAGGTATGGTTTAAATATTAACTTGCATTATGATTCTTGCGAATATATTCTTTTGCACAAAAATATGATAATGGGCCATTTACGCATACATAACCTAAATCTGCATGGAAATATGATTGACCATTTTAATTTATTTATAAAACTACAGTGAGAACCATACATTAGTTAGACGATTGTTAGACTGAAGGTCGTGAGTTTGATTGTACAATGATTATGAAACAAAGCAATTGTACAGTGCACATGTATACCCAGATCAGTTTTACTCAATAAATTTATTTTATATCTACTGGTAAATTATTTGCAATATTAAATTTACAGTAATTAAACGTCGTCTTCCTTTTCCACAGTTTATTGGGTCTCACTGTAGCAACAAGTTTCTATATTACCAGGATGAGGGAGTAATGTCGTATATACGTGAGTACTGGTCTGGGTTCTATCCTCTACTCCTACTCAGAATACAGGTACTGGCACATTTTTCAAAAATGTATTCCCATTTTTCTACTCCATTTTAGATATAAGAAACAAAGTGAAAAGAATTGAGCCTGTATAACAAACCGAAATTTTCTTATTACCGTATCTTTGCAACCTCATGGTGTAAACCTTTGATATTTCAAACTTAGTTTAACTGATCCAATATAATTAATAATTTGAAATAGATAAGGTCTGCTACATTATGTTGCAAATATATAAGGATTAAAAAATTAGAGTTTTTGACAAAGACGCATTTCCTTTCTGTGGAATTACTGCTAGACCCAAGCGGGATATAAGACAATTTTAATGTTGCATTATTTTTGTCATAGTGATTTAGGTATAGAATATAAAACTTGGTAAATTCTCCATGAAAAGATTGCCTTGGTCTGTTTCTGAACCAGCCTAAAGATTTAACAAATTTATCATAATTTTAATCTAATTCAGGATCAAGATGAAGAGGAGGACGAGGATGATGATGAATCAGACGAGTTACTGGACGATCAGGAACTTTTTTCAGACAAACATCGGTTGTTCTTGAAAGAAGAAACGGATTCTAAATTTATCCTGGAATCAATTGCTAGGTAACTTGATTATCTTTTTCAAATTATATTTATGAGTTTATAGCGCAAAGAAATTATTTAGACATGATTTTTCAAAGCCTAATTGGTTTTATTTTGATTTATCCGCAATCAGTTCTCCGTGTAAAGCTTATATTTTGATTTCTTTGTGTCCAGGTTTTATTTTGATTTTTGTGTGTCAAGGTTTTATCTGCTCTGTGTACAGATTTTATCTTCTCTGTGTACAGATTTTATCTTCTCTGTGTACAGATTGTATCTTCTCTGTGTACAGGTTTTATCTTCTCTGTGAAGTTTAAACTTCTTTGTTTACAGCATTTATCTTTTCCGTGTACAGGTTTTATTTTCTCTAGGTATACAGGGTGAGTCAAAAAAAGGTGTAATTTGCGGCGCCTGGTGCAAAATTGTGCCTTTTTTTGTGCAACTCTCCTGCATGGTGTTTTTTCAATGTTTTTTGAAAATTTGTAATTTTTTTTGGTACTCTAATGGCCCAAAGGAAAATCCGCGAATCTTTTTTTCTCTCAAAATCAAACGTTCAGAAAAGCAAAAATGTGTATTCATATTATTTCTCCCTAAATCTAAAATATTATTAAGATTAAATCACAGAATCACTTTTGCACCTTGCGCCGCAAATCACACTTTTTTTTGACTCACCCTGTATGTTTTATCTTCTCTGTGTAGAGGATTTTACTTGATTTCTAAGCGTCAAGGTTAAATTTCGATTTTTTTCGTGTCCAGGTTTTATTTTGATTTCTTCGTGTCAATGTTTTATCTTCTCTGTGTACAGGTTCTATTTTCTCTGTGTACAGGTTTTATCTTCCCTGTGTACAGGTTTTATTTTCTCTGTGTACAGGTTTTATTTTCCCTGTGTACAAGTTTTACCTTATTTGTACAGGGTTTATCTCTACATGTTTGATTTCCTCCGTGTAACTGTAAAGGGTTTATCTTCTACATGTACATATTTTTTCCTATCCATGTACAGGTTTTATCTTCTCAGTGTATAGGTTTTATTTGCATTGCTCCGTGTTTCGATGTGAGGAGAACCTGGAGGATCGGAGAAGAAAGAATCCTCGTCTTAACAATCGATCCTGGAACTGTAGGTAATAAAGGAAGTTTGCCTCTATTGGGATACATTTTCTTAAAGTTTTAATTCACTCACATACTTTCCTCGTTTTTTTCCCTTCTGTCATCGCTCAGTTCTATATCACTGCATTATCTAGGATTTCCAAAAAAAGTTCCAATTTAAAAATGTTTTTGAGATGAGTTAAAAAATTTAAACGATGAGGCCATAAAAGTGTTTCTAAACTTAATTTTTCATTCTTCAAAGCATTTCATAAATGAACCTTTAATTTTAAAGTTTTAGATTATTCAATTTTGTAATAACTAAGAGAGGGTTGTATTTTGAAATTTGTTTCTTTCCTTTCTCTTATTTTACTTTTTTTTTAAACTAAAATATTTTTTTTTTTTTGCAGAGGTTTATGTAAATTAACTTCTAAACCTACCTTTAAATCCTCGAAGAAATCAAGTAAAACTGGATTCTTCAAATCTGTCAGAAGAACCATGCATATTCGTCGGTTGACCAGCCAATCCAGTCAGGACAATATGGAGACTTCAAATATTCAACATGTTTAGATGTATAACTTTTAACTACATACACAGAATATTATTTATCTATTAGATTCACGCTTATAATTATATCTGTTATATTCAAAAACACCTTATTTTAAATAACACAAATTAACCGAATTATGATATTTTTTAAACACTAATACATTTTCTACCTGAACTCTTTTAGTGATATTACTAGATTCAATGATTCATTAATTTTGTTCCTAAAATAAATGAACCCCGTCAAAAGTTTTTGTTTTCTATGGCTTATTGATAAACTGTGATATTAGAATTTATTAGGCGGATAAAAATTATAAATATCAAAATTTCTTTTCTAAAGATGGACCATTGTATTTCTACTCAGTTTTTGTAATCTGACTTAAAATATAAATAATTAAAGCACTTTCTTTTCTTTTTTTTATGCAAGAAATAAGTACAATAGGTACAATAAGTATACAATACCAGAAATTCAAGGCGCTTCGCGCTCTTCTTTCTAGGCTTTTAGGGCGCTTCGCGTCCATCTTCTATATAAATTCTGAACATATTCTTTTTGTTTACATTTCAAAACAAAGAAGAAAAAATTTTGCGGATTTTAAAAAAAATTTGCGGATTTTCAAGAATTTAAATTTTTTTACAAATTAAAAACCTTAAACACATTTTTTTATCATTCATAAACCTTCCTTGTGGTCACGTGATGTCGCACAAAAAAATTGGGCCCGAGCGGTTCAGCCGTTTTGACGTTTATTGGATACAAACAAACAAACAAACAGACAGACAAGCCAAATTTATGTATAGATACTATAAGAATTTAAATGATGTTTGTTAAAGTATGGGCTCTTCGAAAGGGATCATCGTCGATGTAATTTCAAGTGACCTTTATTTTAAAGTTGCATGCCTGATTCACTAAAGTATTCCCTTGTCTCATCTGAAATTATGAATATTTAAGTATCTAACCCATTTGTTGTGGTTTCTAAATAAGTAACAATGGAATTGGCAGAATGTTATCTTTTATAAAGTAAAGCAACCGTATTATTTTACCTTACTCTTAAAAAGGTTTTTAATCAGTTTTTCTAACAGTACAGTTGTGATGCGGGCATGTCAATCTTGAAATATATAACTAACTAAATATTAAAGGGAGTGACCGACATTGTATTGTATTTGAACTAAGAATATAGTTTTGTGGAGAAATATTTTAGTATTGATTTGAGACATAGTAAACGTTTTAATGATGTATAATTACTGAATTTTAGCACGAAAGTAGATGCTCAAAATCATCCATTTGAGTGTTTACGTTTTGAGAATCGATTTTTTTAAATTATCAAACAAAGAAGACGAAAAATGAATCAGAAATTCTACAGTAAACTTACTAAAAATTTGTCAATAAACCAATGCTAGAATTAATTATTTCTTTGTAATCATTATATTGAATTTCTTATTTTTTACAAATAATTTCAATTTAATTTTCAAGATGAAAATGCAAGATTGAATTTTTTAACATTTTAAACAGAGCTTTTTTTGAGTTTTGCAAAAAAAAACTTTAAAAGGACTGTAAGAGTGAGGGGTTGCAGAATCACCTTCAAGCCCCCTATAACCGTCTCCCGCATATCGCTGCGTCACCATATCTCTGCGCCCTGTATTTTAATCTCCGCGTGCTGTATTTAATTTTTATTTGCCTTTCATGGCTTAAACAACCAAACTAAAATATCTTAATATTCACATAATAAGCAGAAAAATATTTCTCTATCTTAATATAAAACTGCAGTAGTTAAAACTTTTCAATACTACTTGTTAATGTATCATTAAAACTGTTTTACCATCTTAAGATTATTTAAAGAGTAGAACAAATGTCTTGAAACCAAAATGCGGGGCGTGGAGACGGATATGCGGAGGCTTGGAGACGTAGAGACGGTTTCGTGGGCTTGGAGGTCATTCTTTGCACGAGGAGGCTCGGGAGGTCATTACGTGGGGCTCATGGCACCCCTGCACCACCTCCCTTACTCGAAGCTTAATTTCAAGAAACCCTGTACGCAAAGCGAAAATGTATAATTCACAACTTTGTCCAAGTAAGTTCGAGTTTGACATCAATGTTTATATTTTAGAAAACTGATTTTTTTCAATTTTGGTTTCTCTACAAAAGTTACTGCTGCAGGAAAAGATTTAGTAATTATCAGATTTAAACACTTAATCTCGAAAAACGACAATATCTTCCACATTATTGATCAAATTAAGGTTTCAAGAGGGTCCCTTGAGGTTATGCTTAGAGTTCCTTTAACGAGTTCTTCCAGATATCTCAGCAGAAACCAGCAAGAATAAACCATTCACTACTGCTCAAGTCTCCTTAGATATTCAGCTGCCTTTAAAGAAAACACAGCTTGATAGAAAATCTGTTAGTTGGATAAATTGACCTCTCTAATTTAAAAATTACTTGATCTAAGTCGAAACCAAACAAAAATCTCATGTTCTGGTGCATTTAAAATATTAGATCATGAAATCAGAAACCACAATGTGGCTTGCCTCGCGTTTTTATCCTAGCTCATCCTAGGCGAAGCGCTCGACCTCCATTACAGCCTTTGGCTTCTCAGCTTTCCTTTCCTTACCTTTGCAAAGTTCACTTGGGAAGTCACCCTTGAGGAAAATACCTAACATCGTACATGTTGCACTTTAGTGTAAAAAAAGAAAATTTATTTTGAATCTTTTTTGTTTCCCGATGGATACAGGATTCCCTATACAGGAAACATAACATGACAATATAAATATATTCTATTGAATGCAACGCTAATTAAAAGAAATCTATGACATCGTAAAAAATGATCAATCTTCTTTATTTATTTAAACGAGTAGTCTAAAAAAGACACTATTAAATATTTTGGAAAACAAATAAAAATTAACAAAAACATTGAGCTAAGTGTAACATAATAACATTTACAAAATAAAACTTACCAATGAAAAATTTCCTGACATATAAATTATGGATTTTAAATATTATCAATTTTCGTTTATAGTATCTACTCTGGAGATAAATTTCTTCAATGTATATTAAAAACATATCTCCATTGTTCAGTAAAGAATAGTCCTTTATTCCAATGTTTAATGGGACTACCTGTACATGGCATCATTTATCACTATTTTGTTGCAATTTCTCGCTGTAAAAAATGTAAAAAAATCTGGTTCTGTACTATGATCTTCTTGCTTGACCAGCCTTCCATCCTTTGGTCTGGAGTAAAGCTGTTGTTTCTCCGACCTGTCTTCCTTTAGTCTCCGGTAGGAAAAGGAACACGAAGATAAAGAAGAGGAAGAGCAGGACTGCGAAGGGAAGGAAGGTGAAGCTTCCTAGTTTAGGAATCAGTAAGGTTGGGAAAGTTAGAGAAACCTAAATACAAAAAATGTTTAATATTAAGAAATTTCTGATAAACCCCCATAAACACCATGTACAGTGTACAGTGTATACGGCCCTGTACGTGGCCCCCTAAACAATCCTAATAAAAGGTATAAATGTAGTACTAAATGAAACCAGAAATCTTTTTTATGTTCCCGAGCAGGCAATATATCTGGGAAACTTCACATTTTATATGACCATGGCATAAAGAACATAGTTCCAACAATCCTTCTTATATTAAACTCAGCCGTAAAAAGCAAATAATTTTTTTTGGATTTAAAATTAAAGGAATTGTCAACTTGATATTAAGCGATTAATTATTTTATCCGTATTTTAGAATAATCATTTATTTATCTATATAATAAAGCTATTCGCTCATACAGTGAAACCCTTAATAACGAATACATCGGAGGAATTTATCAAATGTCGTCTTGAAAATTTTTAATGAGTTTTATACTATTTTTCGTAAATTTCAGTATTTGCGAAAATAAATAAATAGCCATGAAGATGCGGGAACAGTTTTAAAGAGTTCCATATAATCATTTAATTAAAAAACTATAAATATCTGCAACATTCCATTATTAGAAAGTGAAGAATACGACATTTGATGAATTCTTTCGATGTATTCGTTATTAAGGGTTTCACTGTATTTGTATATTTGTGAATTTATATATATATATTTTTCAGTTTTTTAACTTCACATTTTTAAAAAAAAGAATTATACTAAACATAATGTAGTTACAATTCTTTGAACAACAATATATGTTAACTACGGCTAACATACGCTAAAACACGGCATGCAATATTAAGCTTAGTCCGAATGGTAAACTTTAAAATTATGGTGTACACTGCACACTGTAAACTTATACAAACACCGTGTATTCTTTGTATAAAAGGCTTAAACAATATTTACCAATAGATTAGCTGCCCAGTTCACAAATACACAAATAGAGGAAGCAGCTGGTCTAGGGCCCTGAGTGAACAGTTCTCCACAAATCATCCAGGGTATGGATCCAGGGCCCACTAAACATATTTTAACATTGAAACGTCTTTGAGAAACGAAAATTAACTTTGTTTAAAAATTATATCGATCGAATCTCCCCCCCCCCATTACCTCCTTCATAGAACCTCCTTAACAACTAGAATTCTCGTCATCTTAGGATTTTGTAATTTGCAACTGGACTTTCACTAAAAAAGTGCCCAGAGATTTATTGTGAATCTCTGTATCAAGCATTGATGTTCATCTCTATCTTATCTACGGGTCTGTGGATTATTTAATTCCTCTTCAATATCCCGTGATGGTCATACCTTGCTTTAATTAAAAGATCAAGCATTAATCCTCAAATCTAAAAGTGTCCAGATTGGATATCATATCGAGATCATTTAAGATTAACAATATTCACACAAAAATCCGATCTCTAATTTTTTTGTTGGAAATATATCAATTGCAAATTAAAAAATACTTGGTGACATTTCTGAAGTAAAAGAAAGAAGAAAGACAATATTCTTTCCAGATTTTTTTTTCTGTAGTTGCACCAAATTCACTCATAAATACCAACCTGCAAAGAAGACGACAAAGCTGAGTGTTGCAACGATGAGAAAGACCTGAGCTCCCTCTGAATCAATGTTCTGCGCTATTACGATTAAAATGGCAGATATGCACATTCCCGCCAAGCCGGTCAAATGCAGCACTCGCCGACCTAATCTAAACAATACAGATTACAGAGTTTATTTACTCATAGCTTTTTAGTCTATTTAAAAAATTATTTTATTTCAAGGTTTTTGTTAAAAAGGATTTTCTATAACCTTGAATCGGGGTCGTTCAAAGGCAGTATTCCATCTATGAGAAAAAACTGCAAATTGTTGCCACCCCCCCTCTTCAAATTTTTAAATATGTGGTATTCAACGGGAAACACATTTTTGTGACTGTGTCCCATCTCTTAGAAGCACAGAGTGAGGTATATGTATTTCATTATATATATATATATAAATTTGGCTTGAGCACAAAGATAAAACTAAGCGTTGCTTAAAAAACTAAAAAATTAAACGCAGCTAATGAAAATATAACAGTTGTGTCATCCTTTAAAGTTTTAAACTCCAAAAAGTTAAAACGACATTATACTTGAAAAATTAACTAAAATTTTCTTTATAAAAGTAAAATTTTAAAACAATTTGGTAGACTAAGTTATTAGTAAATCGGATGATTAAGATCGGATTATAAAATATTTTACAAAAAGAGCTTTCCTCCATAAATCTTACTTTGTGTTAAAATAGTATCTAAAATAAGTCCTATTGAACTACTGTATTGATTCTATAAAGTAAATCTGTATACAACACTACCTGTCCATGAGAGGAACTGTAACCAACGTCATTGCCACCATGATAGCACCCACACCCAGGTTTGCATACTGAAAACAAGAAAATATATATTTTTTATAAAACCTAAAGTTTGCGATATTTTTATCCTAAAAAATGGAAAAACTATCATTTTAACACGGTCGTTTTTGATTTTTTTTGCATATAGTTTCTTTTAGGATTAAAATTTGGCATAGTGTAAGAATAGCAAATGTTAAAAAAAAACAATTTTGCACTTTAACAAATTTTGATCCTACAGAAAAAATATGTACAAAAAGAAGCAAAACGATTAACAAAACTAATGGTAACTCTGATTAACAAAACTAATGGTAACTCTGATTAACAAAACTAATGGTAACTCTGATTAACAAAACTAATGGTAACTCTGACAAACTTGGCTTCATAGTAATTGAGTTTTAAATTAGCTTAGATTTTCACTTAAACAAAAGCAAGATTTAATCCAACTTCTATTTGATGCAGGATGTTCCAATTAACCAGGGAAATTAAGCCTCGACAAAATAGTTGCTAATAAGAATCAAATATCGTCTGATTAGAGCAAAGTTCGTCTAGGATTAATCTGAATAAAAATTATGCACCCTTACCACCCTTTAATGCAACATTTAGAAACGTAAAATCAGCAACAAATAATATTTAAATCCATAAATTTGCACACATAAAAATTATCTTAATAAAATCTGTAACAAAGTGAAGTCTTAAACCTTCCAAAAAAACTCTAGTCTAGATAAACCCCTGGATTAGGGTTACCAACTATACAGAATAGTTAGGCGCGTACACAGAATTTTAGCCAGGGGGGGTAAGATTTTTTTAAAATTTTTTTTTGCCCCCCCTGGCTGTTTTTTGCCCCCCCCCCCTGGAATTGTTTTGTTCAAAAAGTCAATTAACACCATAAAAATACACCAAAAAGA